TAGCATGGTGGTATTTTTATTGGTAATTTTCTGTATTTGTCATTTTAAATCGGGTTCATTCAGCTGCTAACCTTTAGATGCATCCCCTCTCCAACACAGCTTAATGACGGACTGTAAACGGCGTCATTCACACTTTGTTGCTAGCACTGTTAAATCATGGTCGTTACTTTCTGCATGTATTCCTGCTCCTGTTCCTGATTAAACTCATAATTGCTTCTTCATACTCGGCAGCGTTCTGATGGCAGACGACATGTCAACGGTCCACAGCTAAACTATAATGTCTGGCGTTTTCAGATGTAAATCACGAGCCAATCATTGAATGTGGTCAGCTGTCAAATCGTTTCAGTGTCGTACCCGTCTTGGTGAAACTAGTACTACCCCTAGATCTGAGAACCTACAGCCGCACTGGATTTGCCAACGTAAAATTAATCTGGCTAGGACGAACCTGGACCGCACCGATTACAGTCAGTCTAGTGGAAAAGCATCTTTAGGTTCTTCTCTAGTTTGTGGAATTTCTGGCGCCTTAGTTTATATGGCAGTAGATGTTTATTTTATTTTTATTGTGTCTTCTTCTTGTTCTGTTTTTTATTTTGGACAATGTATGTGTCTTAGGAATACGTTTTGATCTCAGCTGTGCAGAGGCCTTCTTACAAACCATTGGAGTCAGGTGTGTGGGAGAAGGGATGCATGTAAAAGTTCCAGGTTGGTAATTATCTACTAATATGTAACAAAGTGATTTTAGAGCAAGTGTAAAAAGGTAGTAAAAATCCATTTAATTTTTACATCAAGTTGAAATTTGAGATGTAGGACTGGTGTAATGTTTTGTGTGTCTGAAACAATTTTGTAGCTGGCTAAGAAGTCTGGATAACAGTTTTAGGGCCCTTCTTTTTTGGTCACCCCTTTGCTTTAGTGGACCCACTTCTTGTTAAAACTCCTCTTAGGCTGGATATGTGCTGCACTGTGGGAACTGAGAACTGGCTGGAGTATCGTAACAAACAATAGTCTCTGTAGACCCAGTACGGATGAGAAATTACCTTCACTGGGATCCCTCTGAACTGGGAGAGCCCTCTCTTCAAATCCCACACCATGTCAGCGAGGCAGCACAAGTCATTTGTGTGAAATCAGTTGCATCACAGCTCTCGTGGTTTCTTAGCCCCTGTATTTCTCGGTCATTCTGTGGGAACCCTGATTTTTGGCGGTAGCCTCTGTTCCCACCGCCGGCCTGGTTAGAAAATAGACTTGCGTTCACGTACCAGTTGCTGAAACCGAGCCGGTTCTTGCCTGCTCCTTCTCACGGGGTCCGCTGGAGAAGAGGTCAGCGACTGCAGAAGGGGCCTTAATGAGTTTCGCATGCAGGTACCGCAAAAGCGACACGGGATCATGTTTTCATGAGAAATGAGTGTTTTAGCAATTGTGTGTTTGTTCCAAAACACTCCCTTTTCTCTGTTCTCTCCTTCTGTCTGTCTTGTCTATTCTTGTTTTTGTCTCCAAAGCTGGTTTAATTTTTATCTCGGAGATTTATTTGGAACAGGATATGATTTGTGTAATACAAACAAGACACTTTGTTCTTTTCCCAGTTGTTTACTTTTTTTCTTTGCTGTAACTTCCAGTACTTTTCATCAACTTTAAACAATTGTGTTTGCCAACCTGGTTATACAGTTGATGACAACTGCAACCAGACGGGAACCTCACTATGTGGGCAAAGATTTCTTGTCTTTCCTGCAGAGTTACAGTTTCTGAAAGAGGAGCAACATAGTGGGAACAAAGGACATGGGGTGGGAAAAAAAAAGTAGCACTTCTTTACATCCAAAACAAAAACTGATGTGCTCCCCACATGTGGACGACGAGATTCGGGCCTCAAAGAGTGTGTGAAGACAGCTGGAAAATTCCCCTGAGCCTGGCCTAATTGAAAGCTTATCATCTTTTCTTTGTGCTTCCTGAGCGGCGGGGCGATGCAGAACGACTCCGGGATGAGACCTGCAGGGAATACCGTCATACTCTCAGGGTGTGAAGTGGAGCTCAGACTGTCTGGGTGGACTGGCTTGGGGGGGGATGAGATCTGTCAGCACAGGATTTTTTAAGTGTGTGTGAGTGTGGAAGGGCTCTGAGTGTGCAGAGTTAATTGAATACAGTGTGTATCAAGGCTTCCTCCTGAGTCTTTGTTGTTTTGCCAAAGCTGCCCCCATAGAAGTCCTGATGCAGACACGCACACAGGAGAAACCATAAAGGGGAAGAAAAGAAGCTGAATAAGAAGAAAGGATAAAAAGAACAGATACAAGAGAGGATAAACACAAAATAACAGTGAAAATTGACGAAGAACAAAGCGCTTAGACAGGCTTTTCATGCCACACCAACAGGTGGCATTAGTTTAAAGAGTGAGGAACTGTGAGTATTTTGTTACAGGTTAACCACATCTAAAATCAGACCACCCCACAAGGTAGCATCTCAAGTGTTTAATCTTGTGGCTCGGCTTCAGATGATCCAAACAGATGCCATAATCTTGGCATGAATTGACAACCACATAGCTGGTGAGAAAGCCAGCCGACATTCCAAGCTTCTCCATATTGTTTTTAACAAGTGACAACTTGCCGACGTGTGCTAACACGGACTCTGCCAGGGCAGTGTTGGATTCCTGGGATGCGTTTTTATGCACGTTCTGGGTACCACTGTGTTGACAGCAGAGGCATTTTTAATGCTCTGCGGGGTCCCAGCGAGAGGCTCACTGATGGCAAAGAAGGTCTTTATTAGAGAGTTACTGGGGACAAAAATCCAGCAAACTTCCTAATGTTATGAGTGGGACAAATGACATTTGTGGTATTTTTATTGTATGAATATAAATCTGCGACAAACTGTTGGGTCAGAATGTTCTGGAATGAAATTGGTCCCATGAATATTCTGGCATTTCTTTTTTTTTTTTTACCTCCCATCTTTATGTCTCATCTGATGGTTTTTGTGGAGGTGAATCAAACACTGTCTCTGTTTTAGCATTTTTTAGTCCTGACACCTCCTACAGTTAAACTAAAATAACCTCCAAGACTGGGATGAGTGTTAATTTTCAAAATAAAACAAAAATAAATATTACAATGAAAAGGCTTTAGAGAAGGACACAAACACAGATGACTTGTACAATCAAGGGGGTAAAATTGTCCTTGTTAATTTAACTTTGGTGCACTGATTTATTGTTTACTTGACTTTCATACCAAATAGTTAAATTCTGCTTGTATTTGTAAGTAATGTATACTATTTTTCTAAGTGGGTCATTTAAAAAGTTCAGATTGAAAAATTATTTTGCATGATGAAAAATTGTAAATATCTGTAAAGACTAACCATTCTTCATGGACTTTTTTTTCCTCTTAGAATTTTTTTTTTACATTTTTGAATGCATCGATTATTCCGATGATTATCCAGGTTATTATGGATTTATGTTTAATTTTTATATTTTATTGTCCAATTGCCATTTACACTTAAAGCAAACTGCGTCCCACCTGCATTTTTTGCCATTAATTAAGTGTTTTTTTTGTTTGTTTGTTTTTTTTAAAGACATTGGCCTTAGTGGGGCCTTATTTAGGGGTATAAAAATATTTGGTGTTAATGATGGAGTTTCTGTGTTTCAGTAAATTAATCTAAGCATCCAAAAATGAGAAAAAGGTTGCTTAGAAAGGCTGTATTGAAAAATTATCAATTTAGTAGCTCTTGAAAAATCTTTGAAAAATATATAAATTTCATAGGGAGGCTAATGATTTCGACCTCAACTGAGGTATATATGCATACATTATGCCACCATTTCCAGATATTTTAATTTTAAAAATATTTTGAATGTGCTATTTTGTGTTGGTCTACCACATAAAATTATATGACAAAATGTGAAAAATTTTAAGTGGTATTGATACTTTTGTAAGGTGCAATATATGTAGTTTTACCATTAAAAAAAAAAAAAAATTCTGAAGACAGAAGTGAGGCATCTTTTTTTTAATTAAAATGATTAAAAACTACATTATCCGCAAACTTTACAAGCACTCATATGGAAGCAGTAATGGTTTCAGCACATACACGTTTTTTAAATTAACATATCAGTTTCAGATGTACATGCTTTCAGCATAGAGAGCAACGAAGAGAGAAGAATGACCTAAAATGAAACTAGGATTCTTTTAAAAAGAAAACTGATGGAACATTGTGCTCTTTAATTAAACATACAAAATAGGACTGACTTGTACGCTTTGGCTTCATAGTTTTGCATAAACAAGGACAATTCAATTCATTCAACACAGATGTTTCCACAAATCTCAACATTTAAACAGTTTTACAGGCAGTTGTGTAGATCTTTGGTTTTTATAGAAGGTAACCACACAAACATCATGTGATTTCTCTAGCTGCATGATTGTCCTGTTTTTAACAGAGTTGAGGTTCGAGTGGCTAAAAATACATGCTTTTCCTTAGTAGGAATGAGACATTTGTGGAATAAAGCTGAAAACGTCTTGCATACGTGTATTTCTTCACCTGAGCTCCAAATGCAAGCGTGTTTGGGTCACTATTCACGCAGAGATCAAACCTCAGCTGTGTGGCAACCATTTCTGAGTCACGACTACAGTCTTGTAGCCATCAGACACCTAATATCTGTTGCAAATACCTCAGCTCTCGGCACAGGAGTGCTGAGGTACAGGCGAGTGAACAAACGCTAGTAAGTTAGAAGACAAATGCTTCAAAGCACTACTGATGACTCGGAACAAAGGGACCTGTGCAGAACAAGAGACAGTTGGTAAGAAGATCCCACTCTGGACCCTCCTCTTCCCTCTGTCTCTGTAAAAAAAGGCACTCAGGATGGGGGGAGTGTGCAGACACACCTGTGCTGCAGGATTGTGATTATTATCTTTGTGTAATATTTTTCAAAAGGACACTTGAAGTGTGTTTAAACATGCACAGGAATATTTCATATTTCGCCCTGCACACTTTCAAATCAAGCAAAATATAAGGAAAGTCAAAAAAATAGTGCAAAAATTAGCTTTTTTTGTTTTGTAAGCGCAGGAAGGCAAATTGTAAGTAATCTAAAAGATCATGGCTCTAGGATCTTTTTGGGCATAGTCCATTTGGAATAAAGGTTTTAGTGCACCAAAGCTACATTGGAAGGCAACAAAATTACATTAAAAGGTTTTCTTTCATAATTTAGTTGCAATATATTACAAAAACTCCAAATTCATACTTAACAAACATGGTAAATATACTGTATAAATGTTTATAAAAAAAAAAAAAAGGAAACATGAAATGCTTAAGGATTTGGGGTATTTGCATACATTTCCCCAAGGTTTGGCTCAAATAAATATCAAAAGTAAACCACGTTGTCCAGTTAAAATAATGAAAATAAAAATAAATTCTGGCGAGGACTTTAAAACTTACGAAAAAGCTTGAATAAAGAAGTAGGAAAAGTAAGGAATACAGACAACAGGACTCCACTTATCTGCAGAAAATAAACCAAACCGTTTTTGTCTTATTCCTTCATTATTCATCCATTGTCCTGCTGGAACATGATGAAACAGCAGAGAATTAATTTCCTAAACTTGAAAACGCATGTCTCTCGATAATGCAGCAATTGTTCGGAGACATTTCCTCTCTAACCAAGGGCTAATGTCTCTCTGTGGATAATAAATAGACCAAAAGGTTCTGCAGAAGTACTCTGAGCACATGAAACAGCCCTGTATGCTCCTGAAAACATTTTTACATCTGATGCAAATTTTTTACAGAAATGAAAGCTTAAAGGGACCGATTGCTACAGCAGTGCAGCCTTGCTTAGCGAGGAGTCAGTCATGGAGCAGAAAACCAGTCTGACTTTTCTTCTCCACCTGCCAAGTGGGCTGGATCAGTCTGAGCAGTCTGTTTGATGATTGTCTGCTGTGGCTTTCATCTCAGCAGTCGCACTAATTGTTTGCATCTCCGCGCCGTTGTTCGTTTGACTTCGAGTACCTGTCTACATCACTGCGATGGGTTTCTAACAATTATTTACAGTCTCCACTGAGTGCCACCTTGACTCGTATGGCTTTGGAAGGTCTTTGAGAGTACAGGTTTCAGCGCAGTGCAAGAGTTCACTCTGAAACAACAAAATGTCTTCAAACAGTAAAAGCAAAAGTCTTTAAAGCAAGAAAACAAAGGCAAACATGCAACATTTTTTTTGTTTTGTTTTTTCTTTCAGTGTTCAGCTTTGTTGTTCATCAATCTTTTCACTCTCCACCCTCTCCTCCCAATCTCCCAATTTTCTAGCTCTCTTCCAGTCAATATGGTCTCCAGACGGATTCATCCAAACGACCTGAAGCGCTCATAGCCGTCGGGGAGTTGCTGTGGCTGCCGTCGGCTTCCACACCCTCGCTCTGGGTGTTCAGGCCCGGGTTCATCAGACTGTTGGTCCCTCCGGTGCCCGTGGCCCCGGAGCATGAAAGGAGGCGGGTGGGGGAGCGCTCACCCCCAGTGTTTCCTGGCGCCACCATAGAGAACTGGTAGGATCCGGAGCCCGTGCCGTAATACAGGTAAGAATTGGACTGGAAGTTTTGAGACTGGTTGTTTGAGTAAGGGGGCGGCAGGTAGGTGTGGTATCTAGAGGAGGTCGACATGCTAAGACCGCTTATGCCGGTGCTGGAGGTGTTGGCAGAGTAAGGGAAGGCCCCCGGGTAGTGCATGCGGGGGTCTGAGAAGCGAGGGTCTGTCAGCGGGGACAGAGACGGGAAGGTACTCCTCTGTGGGAAGAGGTCTGTAGTCCCTGTTTTGAGACACAAAGACAAATAATAAACCGTTAGAAGCATTCATCCATGATGGAAAACCGCTGTCGGCGTGATGAAACAATGGGCTCAAACATTTCCCTTTTACAAACATCAGGATTCTCTGCACTATTACACATTTCCAGAGCAAACCTTCCTAAACCTTCGTTCTGTTCTCAAATTTCTTGCGATAAACCACTCTATGGAAATATTTGCTCAAAAGTAATGAACTGAGACATTTTTTGGCTCGGTAACAGTCATCAAGCATTGACAGCACATCATCCCACAGCCTGGTGCACAAGACCGAAGTTATGAAAAGGCCCCCCTCGCCAGCGCCCTCCTACCGGTCCTTCAAAAGGAAATCAACGTACAGCTCTCTGTCCTCTGAGCAATGAAAAGAGGCATTGTCGGTGCTAAGGGGTGCTTTGTATAAACACTGACGGCTTGTTGCACTGTTGTGCAACATGTCATAAATCATACTTCAGTGAAACAGGCGGACGTTCACAATTGGAGACGGAGAGAGAGCGAGAGGAAGAAAGACGTTTTCTGTTCATGTATAAATGTGTATCGCAGTGCAGATCCTGTCAAAGTTAAATGTTAACTGTGAGCTTACAGGTAACGAAGCTGAATCCTTCTGGGTCCATGTAATTTAACAGCCAGGAGGGAAATATAAATAAAGTTGAAAGCCTCTAAGCAGGCTTGAAATGTCTTCATTCCTTAGTTCCCTCCTTATTTATAAAGAAATATATGATGATGTTCACAATAAATCACTGAAAAGTCAATGAAAAGCTTGTTTTAATACAGAAATGTCAGCCGACTGAAAAATATACCCATGCATGGGTTTCTGGGTTGTCTGAGGTTCCTTTTGCTTTGCATTCAATGTGGCATAGCTGGGAGTCAATCATCTTGGAGGCGACTACTAAGGTGTTGAGGAATGCCAGCTACTTTAATAGCTGCCTTTGGCTTATCTGCTTGTTGGCTCCATCCCAGTGACAGTGTGGTAATTAAGGCAGGTTTTGGTACATTGTGCAGGTGCCAAGTCTTGCTGGAAAATGAAATGCACATGCCCATAAAGCTCATCAGCTAGGGGAAGTATGAATTTCTCTAGAATTTCCTGGTAGACGGTAACACTGACTTGGGACTAGACAAAACAGCAGCACACTCAGACAACATGACTCCCTAAATGATCAGCATCTGTAGAATCGTCACACTGAAAATTTTAATTAATTTAAAAGATTCATCTGAAAGGAAGAGCTGTCTCTTTTTCCTTCACCCAGATAAGACGCTTCTGGTGTTTCTAATTCAAGAGTGATGTTAAACGAGGATTTAAAACGGTCACAACCAATTTCATTTTTGTGTTATGACACATGTACTATTGACTCCACCTGTAGTTCACACTTTGTGAATTTTGTCAAAATTATTAATTGGGTTTTACATGGTCTTTTTTTCCTACCACAGTTTTTCCTCCTCCTTAACTTTTCAAACTGTGAAAAAGCCTTTGTTGGCAATATATTGTGTCCCCATTTGATGAGAGTGAATTTTGAGTTTTCATTGCCTGTACTTAAAAAGGTACTAAAATTTACAAAAATATATTTACCATTAGACGCATATTAAATATTGTTTATTTACTGAAATAAGCAAACTATTTGACATTCATTCTACATTCTAATTTACTTAATTGCACCTGTACCTATGAAGCTGCATCTGAGTCCCTGTGACATTCGGATATTTCAGAAGAAAGTCTGATGACTAAGAGTCACGTTTAAACACGGAAGAACTGAAAACGCCCTCTTAATGTCTTTGGTTGTTGGAGAAAGTTCCTCATATTTGCTGTTAGCGTAGTGAGCACCGCATCCACACCTGCCACCTGCACACACGTTAGTTTATCCAAACAGAGCTCCGTTCTTGGTTATTTGTTTCTCCTAATGTGGCTTTCTTGGGCTCAATGTGCCCACATGACTGTAAGTGTAAAATAGTGATTTGGATGGCAGAGAAAAGAGAGCTTGTATTTATGAAATGGCAAGCGCTTGCACGCCACATCCCTAAGGGGGGGGGATGCCAAGCTTGCGTGCTGCAATGTTTTTTCAAATCTCTTTTCCGTGTGTCTGGAGAACAGGATCCATTTTCAGCAACAAAATAGAAAATACGCCTTTGTAATTTCCATGGGCTCGGCTATTCTGTGATGTTTTTTTTTTTTTTCTCTTCCTCACACATTCTTATATTTTGTTTTACTTTTCTCGTGTAAAAGCAGAGAGTTTGTTCATGGTGGGGGTGCTGTTTCTTTTTCCAGAGTCTACCAGGGACAGCAGTCGGCTCCATATCTGATTTCATGGAAGGAAAATCCAAGCCATCAGCTGCTGTTGATTCGGGTGAAGTGGAGTCAGATTATTTCCTACTGGACTCCCAAAAAGCCTTTGCTCCCTCTCTGCGTGTGTGTGTGTGTGTGTCTCTTCGTCTCTCCCTGCCTGCTCTAAATTTAGGCGTCAGGGTGGAGCTGGGGAGGGGACATGCAGGCTATGGCTGCTGCGTGCCCACCCTGCTTATGATCTCCCTGTTGATTGGAGTTGGTGGAAACATGCTGGCTAAACTGTGGCAGGGATTGACTCCTGCATTCTGTCAGGGGAAACTGGATTGGACACTTATCACAACACTTTAATGGGCTTGTTCAGGCTCAGGCTCTTGGCTGCGAGCCACAAGGTGTCTGCAGACACCTTCCAGGCTCCATGGTCCAGTAGCTCCCTCTGGAGGAGAGAAAGAGCTAAACAAACTGCTGCGTTAACTGAGAGGAGGTCTGCATTTTCTCTCTCCTGCGTACCTTTTTGCATCTCCACCCTCCACCCCCACCCCACTGTAAGTACAGACTTTGCTGTTGTGGCTGTGGTAACAGCAGTGCATCTTTGACTGAGAGGGTCTTCCCAACCAAGCTTCGCAGTAGTTGCCTGTAACCTCTGCGGCACAAACCCCACACATGATCTCCATTAGACTCATCTGAAACGTGTTGACTAAATTGCAGGGACAGGAGGAGAAGGGATGGAACCCAGAGGGCTCGCTGGCACCGTCTCCCGTCTGTGATGTTCCCAGTCTGTGAAGTGGGTAGGTGGGAATCAGGGATTTTATTGAGAACATTGTGTTCCAGCGCCCCTTCTTTTTCTCCGCTGCTTCCGAGTCCTGCAAACTCTTTTAAGGGCGGAGCCTTCCTCCTTTCTACATAGCTCAAGAAGTCCACTAGTCTACACTGAAGCGTGTAACCCAGATAGGCCCAGAGGTTTGTCTCATTTGCCTACAGGAGAAACTGATTTTGGTTGTTAACATAAGGGCAGGATTGAAGCGATCGCCTCCATGTGTGTTTAATTGTGCATCAGGCCGCATACGTGTGTATGTGTCTATCCGACTGTGGTAGCTGGTGATGGGAAGATGCAAATCCAGGCGCTCACCTGTGAAATGTTTACTCAGGCTTGATGCAAACTGTGACAGGCAGAGCCCAGGGAATGGTGTCTCAGGCAAATAAGGTGGAGGGAAGGAAAAAGGGAAAGAGATCTCCAGCTGGTGCAGCTACGTGCTATAGTGATATTCCTGAAGGGACTTCGCTGCGTCTCAGTATTAATCAGAACAATTCTGATTCACTGTCTGGTTTGGGTGACTTGAACAGTGGATACCATTAAGATGAGCAGTCACTGTAGACAGGCATGAGAAGGCTGCTGCTGCTGCTGCTATGCATGCCAAAGAATAGGAGACTCAAATGAACACAAATGACTTCCAGGTGTTTATTTAAGCATCAAGCCTTTGCAGTCGGGGCTTCAAGTTGAATGCAAATGACAATCACCTCTCTGCTGTGGAACCGCGGTCAACAGCACCAAAAGCTTCATCTATGGTAACGCTTCATCATGCCAGAGCACAGCCTCTTTGCATGTTCTCCACTTGTGACATGCAATACAAGCAATGGGAAGTGGAATTTGTGATTGTAGAAAAACCTGAGATTTTACTAATGTATCAACAGGCACAGTGGCACGATTACAATGTTTATTTGTTAAGTAAATCCTTTCCTCGGAGCTGATTCTCCCCTGTGATTTATTGCAGTCACTACCGGTCTTTTGTGTCTATGACTAGTTTCAAATCTTGGAAATAGCAGCTTAAAAAGTCATATATCTGTTTTCATAAGTCAGACTACTAAACCCTGTCCTGAAAGTCTTCTTTGTGTCTGAAAGTGGGTCCTCTTTACAGTGTGAGTGGATGACTCAGCACGTCTGGTGTGGGGTTGGTGGTTTCTGGGTAAGGCATGGATTAGTGGCAGTGGGGGCTGCTAAGAAAGCAGCAAAGATCCACATCACCCAGAGACAAAGGAAAGAAAGACTGAGTAGGAGGGGATGAAGGAGGGAGACTCAGTGGTGGTGTTAGTGGAATGTAATGGGATGTAGTAAGGCTCTTCAGACAAAATCAAAACAGACCTCACCCCTTACGTTACATGCATGCTTGTTTTTCCAAATCCAGAATCTCAAAGGAGTTGCGTTGATATGGAAACACGAAAAGGGAGAAATCAGTCCCTCACCTGGCCATGATCTCAGATCCTCCTCCACCTTACAGGTCTTCAGAGTGGGCGTATCCATCTGCTCCGGCCACAGACCTGCAGCAAAACACAAAGGAACCGGCAGGTCAATACTGGGATCTGCTTATATGAGTAATATACACTTTAGTACCCAATTCTTGTGCACACAAACATTCCCTACAACTCAAATATCCATTCAGAATGATACCAGAATCTAGTTGGTGGCATAAAATGTGTCCAGTCAGACTGCAACAAGCACCAGCACACTTAGCTGGTGTATCCATTTAATTAAGCCCATATGTATAATTTTGAGTCGGAATCTTCTCTTAGATTTGAGAAGATTCACAATGTAAAATTATAGAATTAATTTTTTATTTTTTTGCTATTTTTTTGTATTAATCAAAAACTAAAAATAATTACTGGTATTTATGCCCTTTGTCAGAAACTGTAGCAATTTCTGGATGATTTTAAAATTTGAATATACAAACACATGTATGGGTTGTAAATACTTGATGTTTATAGTAATGAAATCATTGTGTTTGGCTTGGGAACCTAAAACACAATCCAAATAGCCTTCTTTATGACTGACTGGTCCAAACTGTCCTGACACCTGGTGGTTTTCAGATGTTTGTTCCTGTCACAAGTTGGCCTCTGCTGACCGAGCAGTGAAGACTGGGAAGAGAAGGGGGTGGGTTTCTCACCACTGTGAGACCAGGCTTGGAAAAACACGCTCCATGGGTGCATATGAGGTATTTTTGGGCCCTTCAGGCGAGACACTGGAGGAGGTGAGATCTCTGCATAGGACACTCGGTAGCCTGTCCAGCAGAGCTGTCAGGAAGCGAAGGAAAGGTCAAGGACCTGCTGGCCCAACGCGTGGGACCCGGCTTCACACCTGTAGGCTACACCGCAGCGGACTTGGGACAAACAGTTAGTATTTATTCAAAGTCTGAGATGGCGTATTTGCTACCAGACAACCTGCACGAAGCTCTGTTTACAAATGTATCACATGGTTTTCTGTTTTTTTCTTTTTAAGGCACAAGCAATCAGCCATGACTCTGATGCAACAATTAAGTACACTTCCAATCTCTCAATGTGACAAGTAGTTCTTCGAATGATGCCAAAGGGCAGAGATGGGGATGGGGTGGGGGTGGCACTAGGTTTTTCAGCCACAGCTTGTGTAAGATCTTTGCTTCCCCTGGAGCCCCTTCACTTCCTTTGCAAATGTCCAAATCAGCACTCAGCCACCGAGAGGTCCCGCACTACGCCTCACAATGGCAAATTCTTACACATAAATGGCCTTATTCAGAAAAGCTTGCAAGCAGCTGGTGCGATTCGCTCAAGAAAATAAACATTTCCTTCAAATATTTTGATTGGCCAGCAGACAACATCAATACCAGAGGCACAGATTACCCCTGTTAATAGGAGGACCAGCCCCCTAGGAGGAGCTGCGGAGCGGGGAATGGTGAAGTGTTGACTGCGTCACTAATTAGGCCACTCTGGGACGGTTCCAGTGCAATTTTGGGGATGACAAGAATAAACCCTTCTGCTTTTGAAGTTTATGTGCAGATGAAAGGGTTGGCTGAGATGTCGCTTGAGCCAAAATGGCGTCCCGTCCTCATGACTCCGGATCTAGCAACGCCTCTGAGACATGTAATGAATTTGGCGTAATGAAGCGTGTCATTGAGACACAGTGAATACTGGTCCTTGTGCTGACTTCCTGTTTCGCTCAGGCCTTAGGCGTCACACAGGGGAGAGAATGTGTGTGAGGGAGAGAGGAAGACAGAAAGAAAGACGCCAACCGAGGCAAGCAGAGCGCGCGAGAGAGAAAGAGAGCGTGTTACTGAGGGGAGGAACATGGCCTTGGCTCAGCTATGCGGGACATTTGATATGTCTTTTGAGCCCTCACTTATAACGTGAGCAAAAACAAACACATGGGCTGAAAAATCCTACGTTCTCTTTGAGAGCTGGTCGTCTGCCCGCCCTTCCCGTCTCACCCCGGACTCAATAGAGACTGTTCATGGGATACATGTAGTTTCTGTAATTGCTGAAATGTAAAACTCGGCCTCACTCTGATGTGAAGTTATGACTTACACAAACAGCCGAGTCTGGTTTAAAAGAAAAAGAAAAAAAATTCCACTCACTCTCACTTCTCCTTTTTCATTGTTTTTCACAAAGTTGATGGCTTCAAAAGATTTCCTTTTGGACAAACGTTTTCAGTTTGAAAATTCATTTCTGGGTGACAAAAAAAAAAACTAACCACAAGTAAAACTTTCAGGTACCATGACAAATAAACTCTCTGGCAGCCACTGGCATATTATGTAAATATTGAAGTGCAGAAGTAAAGTGGAGCGCCTAAAAGGCTGTTCCAGATTCCTTGTTCTTTTCTGTAGTATTAGCCTCAGCGCCTCCTGCTTTGGTTTGGCAGAAACATAACGAACATGACGCCTCCTCTCAAACATCCCCGCCGCTACCGGACGGCGCTAATTTCCTGCCCCGCTACCGCTTCTAATTGGCTTATCATGTCACTCTCAGAGTGTGAATTAGTTGTGCGCCTCCCAGCCGAGGCGGCAGCGCAGCCTCCTCAAACCAGGGGGTCCAGCTGGCTTGTTTATGCGGAGTAAACAGTGTGGTCGCTGTGGACGGGCCGGGAGGGGGTACGGCTGCATTAAAAACCTTCTCAAGTTTAGTCCAGGCCAGAGGCCACGACGTTAAGATACCGAGAGAGACTGCCAAGGCACAGCTGCAGCAGATGAATGCCAGTTAAGCGAAATGAAGCCAGAAGTAACATTTGTATTAAGTGTCATACATGGAATGGATTTGCTCTTTTTTTTATGTAAAATGCTTTACAAAATATAAATACTTTGGTCTGATTTATTGGGGTTTTATGTGATAGACCAACACAAAGTAGCTGAAAATTATGAAGTGGTAGAAAAATTATATATGGGTTTCAAATAAAAATCTGTAAAGACACATTAATATTAAGGCGCCCTGAGTTGTTGCCTCTCCTACTTCTGCTGGTTTTGTTCAACCACACATGGAAATTTTCCATAGCTTTTCAAGTTTTTCTAATGACTCTTTTCTAAATCTACCATTTGTGTCTGCTTGAGGTGAAGGAAAACATTCCCACAGCATGATGCTGCCACCACCATGTTTAACTGTGGTAATGATGTTTGTGGCCATGTGTGAGGTGGAGTTTTTTTTTTTTCCTGCTATTCTTACTAAAAGGTCAGATTTGAGTGAATCTCTGAATAATTCTTTACTTCCCCAGTTAATATAGTTTTGTATAGTTTGGGACCTACCATGTCTGTTCAGTAATTTGGTTCCAGTTGATTTTATTTAGTAGTATCCTGAGTAAAAAGGGTTAAATATAAATGCACACCACATTTACAGGTTTATGTAAAAAAAAAGGGAAAAATCATTGAAACCCATTTTGTTTTCCTACCACTTCATATTTATGCACCATTTTGTGTGAAAATAAAATACGTTCAGGTTTGTGGTTGAAACCTGAGTAAATGTCTTCTTTGCAGGGCATTGTAAGGACAAAAAGTGAGTATGGTTTGGAAAAAAAAGGAACCGGGGGGAGAATGTATCAGTTCTGTAAAGTTTTAGCAGCTGATATTAAAACCATCACCGCACATTGTGAGACACCCAGAAAGGCGCTTTTGAGCCCTCATCAAAGCTCAGAGCGCTGGATGGTGGAACGTTATGCTTTGGGTCTGATATTCATCTTCAGAGGGGGAACACACAGGTGTTGGAACAAATAACATGTCAAACGATACCACCTCAAAAGTGCCAGCACTTTCTGTTTGGATGATTAAATTGGTGCTGCGTTTCCTTTCTTCCCTTTTCTCAACTGCTAAAGCGAGTTTAAGTTAAAAAACGTTCTTTCTTCTCGGCCGTCTGTTAGAGCTCGTGCCAGGAGGTGGTTGAGTTTTTGTCTGGATTAAGGTAAAAAAACTGAAATCTGTTTTCCTCTTTTTTTTTCCACTTTTTAAGCTAACTCACTTCTTCAATCATGGTTTTTGCTTTTCTTACAGACTGGAAATACCTGTGTACACACTATAAAATGCTGTCAAACTCGCATGAACCTGGAGGAGGAAAAAAGCAAACGATGCCACCCACAGACACAGTCGGCTACACATGTATCTCGCTTGAGGTTTTGAAAACCAGTATAACAATTTAGTGCTTGATTGTCTGAGTGTCAGATTTGCTTGGCTGAACTCGGCGAACCACACATTTTCAAACACGCAGACATGCGCGCACGCACACACACGCACGCAGCCCTCCACCCTGGCTGAGAATCATTCCACATGTCTAGCAGGCTTACCTGTGGCCACCGAAGAACAAAAACAAGCAGCGAATGAAGCGTCTGCCAGCGTGCAGGAATCTTGTCACTGCATGCACTGTAATGAGCTCTTAATTACCCCGTCTGTCTCGGGTGCGAGCAGAAAACTTACAACACCGTTCTGTGTGTGAGAAACGGTGTGTTTTTTATTTTCTACGTGCCCCATGGTGCAATTGTGTGATTTAAGATTTTGCACAGATGTCTGAAGACGCGTCCTGCTGACAACAGTACAGACAGTATTTCACAGCTCAGTCAACAAAATGAAGCAAGAGGGCTTTGAGGAGAGGTGACACCATATTTTCCTCTGCTTTTTTCGTCGTTTCTCGGGAGGGGGAAAATGTAGGATAATGGAAAACATCTTTTATAACAGCGAGACGGGAATCCATTTAATTATAACTTGCTGATGGGCGATCTATCACCCGGCGATACTCAAACAAACAGGCTCTGCGATGTAAAGTATCAGCGGAGCACAACTGCGTCTGGCAAGGCTGAAAAAAGCCGAGGAGTGCGTGTTGTTGATATGTAAACACCTCCCCGCGTCTCTAGATGGGATTTATTACAGCAAGTCTATTTTTGTTTGAGCTTTGCTTCTAATTCTGCAGCCCTTGTCGTCTGCGTGTACTGGAAGCTGCTCAGAGGAGACGGTGAAGTGGGAGGGAGGACCCCGGCCATCTTACTCTGTTATTTAATTATTTTACCACTCTTGCCCTGCGGTGCGGCGTACATGACGCTAATACCACAGATTAAGGTGTGTGGTTTTTATGGCCCTTCCCCTCCTCTGCAGCTGTAACACGAAGCTCAAGGCCTTCAGCGTCTCTGACACTTCCAGCTGATGTTAACATGTTTTGTCGGCTCTCCGTTTATGCGCTGCAGAAGTGTGTGTTGCAACACTACAGCCCTTTGAAGCCCCAAAAGCCTGTGATGCTCTAATTCCCGCCCTAATCCTGCGCGAGGAGTCTGCCGTCTGGACTGTGTCTGCACACCTCTGCGCCCCGCACATTCAAGACGGGCCTCAGAAGCTTAAAGCTCCCAGTTTAAGCTTAGCCGCAGGGGGCTTTCTGCTGGCAGACAACCCACAGAGCTTCTGGCAAAACAGAAAATTAACATCATAGTGGCGGCATTGTGCACTGTACTTAAAAAAAAAAAAATCAAAAAAATAAATAAATAAAAAGAGCAAACTATTTTCGAAGTTTACCGGTAGCTGCTGTTTCTAAAATGGCTGATGTGTTTTTCATCTTGGTACAGGATGTGGAGGGAACAACATTAGCATCAACAGAAATTAAGGACATGGGGGAGCATGAGTAAAAGAGCCAGTGTTCCCAGCAGTCAGCTGTTAGATTAGGCCTAAACTGGTGACTCAGCACTGCCTAAGCTTAAGCACAAGGCCAAACACTGTATGGCTGTGATGTTCTGAGATAGGACTGCATCCACATACAGCTCCCAAACAAACCCTCCTATCCACAGCAACACATTCGCTCTAAGGTAATGAGAATCATTATCCTGCATGAGAACAGAGGAGTGGGCGGGAGGGGAGTGAAAGCCTTCATCCCTCATTCTCCCTGATATCACGCTGAAGAGACTCTGACACATGATGAGGAATGAAGAGTCATCCTCAGCCCGGTCGTCATCCAGGCAGCTGTTCTCAAAACGCGCGCACACACACACGCATAACGAAAAGATCGCACCACCTCAGCCTCAGTCACAGCCTTCCTCCCACCCCCACACACTCGGCCAGTCTGAGAGTGACGCGAGTGCCAAGGTAGCGGACGGCTGTTACATTCCTGTAATGTGAGGTTCAGCCAAATCCGATGGCAGGGCCGGCTGTGTCACCTGGCAGTTGGTTCTCTTCAACACTAGTTACCCCAGGACAGAACTGAAGCTCCCTGCAAGCCCCTCCATACACACACACACACACACACACACACACACACACACACACACTGCCAACCCAGAACTTAACCCCCCCCCCCCCCCCCCCCCCCCCCCCCCTCCATCTAATCCCCTCATAAAGCAACCACTACTC